AACAATATTATATTCAAAATATCCAGTTTTCAATGAAAATACACAAATACAAAGAAACAAGAGAGTAGGGTCCATTCACAGAGGAAAACAAAACTAGACAGAAAAATTCTTAAGGAAACCTGGACATTGTTTAAATTAGACAAGGATTTTAAATTGTCTTATCTTAAAAATACTCAAACAGCTGAAGAAAACCATGAAAGGAACTAAAGCAAATCAGGAACAATGTATGAAAATGTAGAGAATGTCCATAAAGAGATAGAAACTGTAATTCTGGAACGGAAAAGAACAATAACTGAAAAGAAAAATTCAATAGAGAATTTCAACAGTAGCTATAACCAGGCAGAAGAAAGAATCAGTGAACTTGCAGGGAAGATAAAATAACCCATTCTGAGGAACAGAAAGGGAAAAAGAATGAAGATAAATGAACAGAAGCTAAGGGACCTATGAGACACCACCAAAAGTACCAACATATGCTTTATGGGAATCCCAGAAGGAGAAGAAAGAAGGATCAGAAAAAATACTTGAAGAAATAATGGCCAAAAATATCTCAAATATGATGAAACACAGAGAGACACATACCGAAGAAGCTCAACAAACTCTAAGCAGGACACTCTCAAAGATATTCACACTGAGACAAACTACAATCAAACTAATGAAAGACAGAGAAAAAACTAGAAAGCAGCAAGAGAGAAGTGACTCACCATGGACAAATGATTTTCAATAAGATTAATGGTCAGTTTCTCATCAGAAACCATAGAGGCCCAAGGCAATGGGATGGTATATTTCAAGTGCTGGAAGAAAAAAAAAATGTCAACCAAGAATTCTATATATGGCAAAACTGCCCTTCAAAAATGGAAAAATAAAGATATTCCCATCTAAATAAAAACTAAGGGAAATCATCCTTAGGAGACTTGCCCTACCAGAAATAATGCAAGGAGTCCTTCAGTCTGAAATGTAAGGACACCAAGACGGCAACTTGAAGCCAAATGAAGGAGAAAAGATCTCTGGTAAAAATAACTACATAGATAAATATAAAAGCTAGTAGTATTGTATTTGGAGCTTGCAACTTATTTTTTTTTCTTGTACGATTTAAAAGAAAATGTATAAAACTATAATTATAAGCTATGCTAATTGGCATACATATATAAAGATGTAATTTGTGATAATAACAACATGGGGGTGGAGCTGAATAGGAGCCAAGTTAATATATGTTACTGAGCTAAATTAGTATCTATTCAAACGAGATTGGTATAAAGTTAGGGTGCTAACTGTAATCCCCATGGTATCCATTAAGGAAGTAACTTTAAAATGTACAGAAAAGAAAATAGAGAGATTCAAAATAGCACACTAGAAAAGGAAGTGATCAAACACAAAAGAAGGCAAAACTGGAGAAACTGAGAAACAAAAAAAAATTTAAAACGTATTAAAAAATAGTAAAATGGCAGAAGGAAGTCCTTCTTTACCAGTAATCACTTTACTTGTAAGTGGATTAAACTAACCAATTAAAAGACAGAGATTGGAAGAATGAATTTAAAAATATGATCCAACTTGTAGCTTGCAAAAGACTCCCTTTAGAGCCAAAGACAAAAATGGTTGAAAATGAAACAATGAAAAAAGTTATTCTAAGCAAATAGTTACCAAGAGGAAATTATAGTGGTTATACTAATACCAAATACAACAAAATTTAAGTGAAAAATTGTTAAAAGAGACAGAGGATATTATATACAGATAAAAGGTTAATTCATTAAGAAGATAAAGCACACCAAATATCAGAGTTCCAAAATATATGAAGCAAACATTGAGAGAATTGAGGAGAGAAATAGACAGTTTAATAAAAATAGTTGGAGACTTCAATACCTCACTTTCAATAGTGAGTAGAACATATGGACAGAAGATTAATAAGAAAATACAGAACTTAAACAACACTATAAATCAGTTAGACCAAATAGACATACACAAAACACTGACAGCAGTGTGGTACATATTCTTCTCAAGCGCACATGAAGGATTCTCTAGAATAGACCATAGGTTAGGCCATAAAACATCTATCACTACATTGTAAAAGACTGAAATAATACAAATTATATTCTTCAACCACAATGGAATGAAGCTAGAATAACAATAACGGAAGGAAAACTGGAAAAATCACAAACATGGAAATACATGCAAACAACACACTCTTTTTTGGGGGGGTTAATTAGGTTTATTTATTTAATTAGTTATTTTAATGGAGATACTGGGGATTGAACCCAGGACCTCCTGTATGCTAAGCATGGGCTCTAACCACTAAACTATACCCTCCCCTCGGAAACAACACACTTTTAAGTAACAGGTGAGTCTAAGAAGAAATTACAGGAGAAATTAGAAAGTACTTTGAGACAAGTGAAAATGAAAACACAAAGGACTAAAATTTATAAGATGCAGTAAAAGCAATGCTCAGAGAAAAATACATAGCTATAAATGATTATATTAAAGAAGAAAAAGATTTCTAATCAACAGCATAACTTTAGTCTAATGACACTAAAAATAGATCAAACAACCCAAGCCAGCAAAAGGAAGGAAATAGTAAAGATTAGAGCAAAACAATCAAAATAGAAAGAATCAAAAAAACCGAAAGTTGGTTCATTGAAAGGATCAGCAAAATCGACAAACTTTTAGCTAGAGCAACAACAACAACAAAGCAAGCAAGTAAGCAAGAAAACATATTACTAAAAATCAGAAATGAAAGAGGCATTATTACCAAACTCAGAAAAAATAAAAGCATTATTAGCGAATACTATCAACATTTGTACACCAACAAATTAGATCATCAAGATGAAATGGACACATTCCTAGAAACAGAAATTACCAAAATTGACTCAAGAAGAAATATGAACTCTAACCAGACTTATAACAAGTAAAGAGATTGAATCAATAATCAAAAATCTCCTAACAAAGAAAATCCCAGGACCAGATGGCTACACTGGTGAAGTCTGTAAAACATTTAAAGAATAATTAACATTAATCTTACCCAGACTTGTTCCAAAAAATTGAAGAGGAGGAAACACTTCCTAACACATTCTATAAGGCCAGCTTTACCCAGATACCATAACCAGACAAAGATATCAAAAGAAAAGAAAATCAGAGACAAATATCCCTTACGAAAATAGATCCTCAATAAGATGTTATCAAATTGAATTCAACAGCACAAAAAAAGGATTACACACCACAACCACATAGTCGGCCCACATGGATGGGATGTTCTTCTGGGGTTTTAAAAAAGTTTTGAAACTAGAGAGAGGTGGTAGTTACACAAAATTTTGATGCACTAAATGCCACTAACTTTAAAGTAGTTAATTGTATGTTATATGAATTTCTCCTCAGTTTTTAATAAAGACTCACAGCCTTATATTTAGCAAAATCCCCTTGTAACTTTAAAAAATGCACATATACATGAGAAAAAAATGTTAGATGTTACTTCATGACATTAAAGATTATTATCAATGAGTGATAGAAAATTAGGTAATTTTAATTATTGTCTCTAAATTTTTTTAAATTTCCAACATTTTTGGAAATTAAGTACATGTTAAAAATTTTGATAACTAGGGAAGAGAGCTATGCTGATGTTGACTAATAGATACTTAAAAGCAAGGAGAAAATGCTTAAATTGCAGGGTTACATGAGGATAAAAGAAAATGTCACTGTATATATAACATGATCCCAAGTATTTAAAATGTAGTGTTTATGGTGACAGTCTGTCTGTGGGACACAGGAGTGATATTTTTCCTTTCTACTTTCCAAATTTTCTAAATGAACATATATTACCACTAAAATCACAAAGCTAACTTTATTTTTAAAATTTCTACCACTGGGCGAGCTAAGTTCAAAAAAGCAGAGGTTTGGTAAATGCATTTGGTTTGATAAGGAGGATACTGACACTGGAATTATGCCTTTTGATACATAATATTCCTCATAGAAAAAGTGCAAAGTACAGACAATGTAAAGACAGGAACTTTAAATCACCAGACTCTAACCCCTGAGATGTTCTTTGTTGTTCTTGAATAGAAGTGGGCTTGGGCTGTTTAGAAACACTGGTCCTTCACTTCCATTACAGCAAGATCATCAGGAGAATTTGTTTAGTGTATGTGAGCCCATAACGGGTCGGGCAGAAGTCTGGCTCTCTGGACAGAGGACAGAGAATATCAAAAGAATAATTATTGGTCCTTGGTCACACAGCATGCTTTCCCACTTCACATGGTACAGGCAATTTTTCAATCTGAACTTCCTTTGGTGAACCAGCCCTTTCCCCATCTTAACTCATGTGGTTTGGGTGGGACTGACCCTAGCCTATCCAAAGTAGGAATGATCTAGGCTCAAGTCAATCAGTAGATTGAATTTTTAGGGTCAGAGTGATTCATTACTTTGAGCCAATAAATGTCAAGTGCAGGACTTTTGTTAAAAACATTGACAAGAAAGATGGACTCTATCATTTATAACTTAAAAGATGTGAAAAATCTGCTAGAAATGAAGCTAAGATGATGAATGGGTGATTCTATGGATTTAGCAGATGGTGGCCACGCTCTGTTATGTCTTGTGCCTCCCTCCACCACAGCCCTTCCCATGCTGCGTTCTGATATTTCTCCTCCACCAGACAGTCAGTTCTCTAAGGAGAGGAGACACATCTCCAGTATGTTTGGTCATAGCATAGAGCAGAGCCTAAGCACACATCTGCTAAAGAAATCATCCTGATGAACTTAGCAGCATGGAAATGAGACATTGGTGGTTCTACCATTGAGGACTCAGGTTTCTGGGGTCCAGTACCTCTGCTGGTCAATACCACATCCTACAGTCCCCACCGTGTACTCTGGGGTTCCTGCTCCGAGCTGGAACAAGTGGTCTGCTCTGAGTCATCACCTGTGGGTACTGACGTGGTCTCTGCACGTTTCTCACACAATCACCCAGAGAACGTCATCAGGTAGACGGAGTGGGGGCGGGGCAGCTGTCATAGAAAGCCTTCTCGCATGAAGCACCACAAAACCAGAGGGAAACCCCAGGTCACCGATCCCACTCGTACCTCCTTCCTCTCCTGGGGGCTAAAGAGAGCAACAAGGAAGCACCAGCAGCTCCAACCTGGGCAGCCTTCCTGGGAAGATGCAGCCGCTCCTGCTCCTGCTCCCACTGGCCTTTTTACTGCCCCCCGGGACAAATGCAGGTGAGTGACCATCCCCACTCTCAGAGGCCCAACTACATCCTCCATTTGGCACAGATCTCCTTCCCTCTCTGCATAGCCCTGACCCATCTATCCACCAGGAACGTTTTGAACACCGGCTCCTGTCCCATCTCATACCCCCAAGTATGATGCTGGAGACGCCACTGGCAGGAATGGCAGAGCAGAATGCTGTTCTCAAGAGGAGCCAGTGGGTACTATCCCCTCTTCAGGCCCTACTTCTGCCGTCTGGAAAGCAGAACTTTTCTAGATGATGGCAGAGGGTTGGAAACTGGAAAAGAGAAAATACTAAATTCCCCCTGCAGAGGGCAGAGCGGGCCTGACTTCTGCCACGAGGATGAAACAGGTGCTCCCCTCAGCACCTGCTTAGGAGAGAGGCCCAGAACTCAGCAGACCCCGGAGCTGGTGCTGTTGCCTTTGCTCAGACCCAAGGCCCCTCAGTCCCTGTCTCCAGCTCAGTTTTCCTCCCGAGGCCATTAGAGGCTCCTCTCTTTCAAGGATGAAGCCACTGTTTGGCAGACCTGACCTCTGCTTTCCAGACTCCCACCAGCACCGGCCCTACCAACCACCCTCATCCTGAGGCCCACTGGGTCCTTCCTTCACGCAGCCAGCACCTACTGGCCACTGACTACATGTCAGGCCCTGGGAAATAGGCTATGACAGCTTCTAGATCCCTACACTAACATCCCCAGCACTGGAAAGCAGGGCTGTCCTACACATCACAGGGTAACAGTGCCCCCAGAAACTCACCTGACACAAAGCACAGTCAGGATTGGAGTTT